GTCCTTTTCCTCTGGGCAGCTTTCCATCCCCTCCTCTGCAGCCCCACCACGTATACTGATCACTGCAAAAGCTTGTGGCGTTTGATGGTTTGCCAAGAATAATCTAATGCCATTATACTGGGGAAGTAAATCAAGTTGTGTTCTTTGGGGGAGCTTGTACCTGCCCTGTCTGTCTGCTCTGTCTCCAGGATCTGTAGTTCCTCTGCTCCCCTCTTTCAGCTCCAGTCATCTCCTGCTTCAGCGCCCTCTTCTCTGGATCTCTCCTGCTGTCCTGTCTCCTCTGCAAACACTACTGCCATTGCCAGGTGTTCGTTGCGAGTGCAGGGGCCACCACCCCTCCACAGCTTCATGCACTGGAGAAAGCCCTGCTCTGGGAACTTGATAGCATCTCCAGCCCCCTCTCCACTTGCTCTGCCCTCTCCATTTGCCCTGAAACTCTCCACAACACAAGGGACTGCTTCTTTTCATATTATTTGGCAACGCCTTACAACAGCATAAGCCCCGCGTTCAAATCATCCCCTTTAATGCTACATTAGCAAGAATAGAGCTGTCTCTCCTCACCGATACATCTCCAGGCTCTTTACAGAGGAGAAGAGGGTCTTTGCCCCCATTTTACTAGTGTGGACACTGGACTTACACAAGTGACTTGTGCAAGATCTCCAGGCAGAGAAGCAGCAGAGTTGGAAGATGTCCTAAGTCCCATCCCAGTGAAGTTGCCCAAGAACGGGACATGCAAACAGACAAAGGTTACGCGCAGGTTGCAAAAGGTAGAGAAGATAGCGGGAAAGAGGAAGGTTAAATTTAAGATGCTGCAAGGCAACGTGATGTTCAGATGTCACCCCCCCTTCCACGTGTCACTTCCAGTATCTGCCAGCCCATCCCAGCATACACTCCACCATGGTGGTGGCATGTTCAGTACATATTTGCCATGTCCTTGAAAGAGCAGAGATCTGCAAAAATGTTTGGGTTTTGGGCTTCCCCCCCCCCCAATTGTTTGCACTGGGGAAAGGGGATGACAAGCTTAAAATCCACAGGGCCTTGTGTACCTGCACCAAGGAGATAAAATTCACAGAAGTCTCCTGTAATGATCAACATACGCTGAAAGAATAAACATCCCAAATTGAAGCATAGCACAAAACTGTCCCAGCACAATAGCTGCTCCTCAATGCATGCTGTTCATTTTCCACCAGGTCCCATGGGACAACATCCCAGGGGAGAATCCACACAGCCACAGCAAAACCGGTTGCTGTCCCCAGTTTTGTCTGGTTGAGACTGTGACCCTGTGCTTTAGAGAGCACCAGCGTCTTTTGAGAGATGGGACAGCACGGTGGTTAGCATGACAACTGGAGAGATCAGGATTTGGTTATTCAGACTTTGCTGTATCTCTAAAACTTGTCTGCTGCTGTGGGATGGGAGGGAGTTCATGTGTGTCCCCTTCGCTCTCGCAGGTCCCAGCGGGTGTCCATTACTGCGGGTTAAATTTTGCTGGTACCTTGGCCTGCCGGGGATTGTATCAGGAAAACCATGTTCTTCCCTTTACTCCTGGTGAGAAGGTGACTGATCTGTGCAGAAAGTGTAGAGTGACTAACGAACTAAAGCGTTAAATTCTCATTGGGCTAAGAGCAGAGGAGCAGCCCTGGGAAACGAAGGCCACTGCGAGTAAAGCAGAGGCTCACTCAAGGCATCTTCTTGGAGCCAACAAGACCACCACGTTTTAACATTCTCTGAAAATACTCTCTGAAAAAAATGTTTCGCATTTTCAAGGTAGCGTGCAAAGAGCACTCATGCTAGTGTGGGGAGAGCTACTGTAAATATTAAGCTTGCCTGAAAGCTAAGAAAAGCAAAGCATAGAGAGGTTTTGCGCAGGGCTGTGTCCTTCTGTCCTGAGCCTAGAGCTCCTCAGCACTGCAATAATTGACATAAGCATGAGACAGCCTAGCATCGTGGGTAGGGGTGCCAGCCTGTCCCTGGGCAGACATGCCACCCTGGCACCCTTCAGCCTGGCGTGGACACAGGGAGTGTTCCCCTGCTGAAGGCATATCCTCACCCCTTGCAAAAAAAACCCAAACCCCTCTGGCCCTCAGCCCCTGTGTCTTTCAAGATCCAGGTGATGCTTATGTGGTCCTCCTTGTAGCAAGCCCTTCAGGCTGAGCCATCTCCTTTGGCTTTGCCCATCCAGGAGCCTTGTGTCTTGTGCCTTGATCACACTTCTGAAGTCCAAGGGTGTGAAAATGTCCCCTTTCCTCTGCAAAAATATATCGGTATTCCCAAGTAAAAGAAATCCCTACCTAGTTAAGCAAGCGGTTGCTGTCTGCTGGGCTGATGCTGCCATCTTCAGCCCACCTGATGCTTTGCTGCCGAAAGCTTCCCCAGCCCTTGGCCCAGAGACCTGCCCATGTGCGAGGTAAAAGAGATGAGAAAAATGCAGGAATGTAGGAATTTAGGAATGGCCTCGTGGTCCCTCATCGGTCACTGTGGGTGGAGATCCAGATGCATGCCACCGGGGTTGTCTTCTTCAAGCCTTTGCGTCGTGGTTGTGGATGCGAGTGAGAGGTGCTGCGCTCTGCCGGATGAAGGAGAAGGCATAGGCTCTGCGTGAGGAATCACATTCAAGAGATGAAGGGGGTAAATATGTGCAGTTAATGCAATTGCTAAGTGGACTGTTATTAGACACAGCTTGAGCTGTTCACGGTTCTTCCTGAAAACGCAGGAAAATCAAATGCTTAATTCAGAGAGAACAGCAGGACTGCGCGATTTCTCTCCTGACACCCATCCAGTAAGAGTTTTTTTGGCAGGGACACAGTGTAATTGGTGTGACTGGCACTCAAGCTATGGCAGCAGAGTGGGTTGTTGATCAGAAGGTAAGGATACAGAGCAAAATTTTGTTTTCCAAAATCAGAGAACACTTTTGCATCTTTGTTCAGGGCTTTAGTTCTGCCAGAGCCGCCGCCTCGCAAGCCTTCAATTGCTTTTTTCCTTTCCCCTGGCACCACTGTCAGAGTGAGATGCTTGGGGGGAGTTTTTCCCAAACGGCAGGCTGTAAAAAGTTGTAAAAACACTGTTAAAACAAACCTTTTCACACACCGATCCCCCACGATTCCTCGCCATGGGTTCAGTCCAGCAGAGCTTCAGCCCCTCCTTGGGATTGTGTTGCAGGTCTTTGTACGCAGATGTTGTAGCAGATCCCTGAAGGTGTCATACAAGGATGCGGTGGCATTGCTGACCACCTATGGCACAACCTCCCTGGTTCTTGACCATAGGGCATGGCTTCAGCCAGGGTAAGTGGCAGCAGAAGCAGCTCAGAGGGCAACACCTGAAGCATAACCCCAAACCTGGGCATTTCAGCTGTCAAAAATGTTGTGGCATCTTGTCTCTTTTGCACACATCTGTATAAGTTGGGGCAGATCATTTTGAGTTTATGCCTTGATTTTCCCTCCCTCTAAGAGTGGAGGAAGCGTGCAGATCCCATGGAAGTAAGGATTGCAGAGCATCCAGAGGGGATGCAGCCAGTGAGAGATGTGGTCAGCAGCCCCGACCTGTTGAATTTCAACAGTATTAAATTGCCAGGGCCTGCAGGAAAGGCAGCTTGTATAAACTAAACCCACAGATACCGTGGGAGCTTTAAAACTGTTCAATGTGAACTTTCTACAAAAGAATTTGATGTTCCTGGTGAGCCCGTTCAGCACTGAGAGGCTCTATAAACCACGGGTCATGTGCAGTGGTGAATTAATTCTCCATTCCCCTCACTGGGAAGTGTCCCAAGCAGGCAACGTTGCATAGCTGTCTCACCGAAGAGGAGCGTGCGGTCCACGTGCGTCTCTCCTGATGGGGCTCCAGGGCAGCAGCTCTGTTTTGGAGGAGCAGGGTCGAACCGCCCGTTCAGCACTGAGAGGCTCTATAAACCACGGGTCATGTGCAGTGGTGAATTAATTCTCCATTCCCCTCACTGGGAAGTGTCCCAAGCAGGCAACGTTGCATAGCTGTCTCACCGAAGAGGAGCGTGCGGTCCACGTGCGTCTCTCCTGATGGGGCTCCAGGGCAGCAGCTCTGTTTTGGAGGAGCAGGGTCGAACCGGTGATGTCTGTAACTCACTGGTTTTTCAGTAGCAGCTGAAACGCTGAGTTCTCCGCTCCTCTGAAACACGGAAACATCGCTAGACAAAGCCGTAGAGATTAAGCAACTTCCTGACGTTCACAGAGAGAGACAACAGCAGAGGTGGGGACAGCCTGCAGAAATCATGTCTACACCTTGGTTCATGCAATCCTCCTCCCCCTGCCCCGCAGCAGAGGCAATTACATGGTCTGTCTGAATGGTACAGGAATGACATTTCCCCTACAGCCTGGAGTTAACGTACTTCTGCTTGTAAAGTCATCCAGCAGACGTAGATCCTTGCTTAGCAGATCATTTCACTTTGCAACATCAAAGCTTTGTGCTGGGGGGCAGAGCCAGCGCCTTGGGTTCAGCTGAGCCCAGGGAGGGGGACAGACCTCCTTTACACGGAGGTACCCCTCAAATGGCTGCGGTACCCAGCACATCCCTGACTGCAGGGGGGATTCTTGTGGCCTTGAAACATATTGTCCCCTTCAGGAATAAATGACATGTTTCTGCTGTGCCATATACATATACGCATTTTAAATATATACAAAGAAAGAGTTGGGTCTCTGGCTCCAACTTCTTATTTGCTATAAATAAAATAAAGAAACATACCTCCAGCCTGAGATGCTCTGTGCTTCTCCGAGCAGAGCAGCTTTTGCACTGGGTGGTGGGTTTTCCTTTGGTCTCAGGTGATAGTGGCAGCTGGAAGTGACCTCAAATACGCGCTGGCTCTGAAGAGCAGCATGAACCACAGCACGAACTGCAGCCGGAGCAGGCAGAGAGGAAATGAAGATGCTCAAAAGCAGCAGAGCAGTCAACATGGCCATCGAGGCCATCGGTGGGGACCTCTTCAAGGCAGCTCTGCAAAGTTGCACTGAAATAAAAGCCCTGCCTTGCTCTAGCTTATGACAAACCCATGCAAGCACAGGTGATGCTGTTGGCCTGTTTGAAGGTTTTGCTTTGGGGGAAGGTTAAGCAAATGCGTGGGGCTCTGTTTGCAGAGATGCAGCCAAGGGGAGGCTACTTTAGGGTCCAGATACAGCCGAGGAAAAAGGCTGTATTTTTACCAGAGGAAAAATCCCCCCGATTCCCACCAACCTGCTGCTTCTGAAGAGTGTCTGCCACAGGAGAGTGCTGGAGTCAGTACCAGGAAGATGATTTCCCCATTTTTTTTCCCTCTACTATCTCCTCCATTCCCCAGTATTGCCAGGAAGGAAATATCCATCCCCATGTTGGAGCAGCCTTCAAACTGGAAGAGGTAAGCACAGAGCAGATTCCTCAGGATTATTTTAGCAAAGCTTTTTTTTGTAGGTAGAAACAGGTTTTTGTGTGCAGTTAGGCTCCTGGCACAGAAGCCTCCAGAATCCTGCTTCTCTAAGAAACAAAAACATTAAATCAAGAAATCCCATTTTCCCCTCACCCTTTTTAATTTGGGTTTGAGCCAGGGAGCCGTTAACTCCTGGTTCAGTACTGCAAGGCCAGAATTGCAACATGCTCAATAGGAAAAGTCATATAAAACCACTCACTCCCATACCAAAGAGTTTGTGATCTTAAAGAAGAATAATATGCTGGGATAATATTTTAAAAGTGGATTAGATTTAGATGTGCCTTCATTTGCCTTTTTCCCCCTGAGCACCTCTGAAGGTGTTCAAAACACTTTTTTTTCCCTCATTTGATGGTATTTTAATCCTTAAATAATGGCTCAGCTCCCCAGAAATATTTATGTAGCCACCATCCAGCACACTCAGGGATGTAAGTTAGAGGAGCTGGTCTGATCCTGAGTTATTTCAAACCCAGCAGTAGATCCCAGGGGTGGAAAGCCCAGGCTCAGATGCAGACCTCTCCCATGCATCCTCGTTCTGCCCCTTCCTTCCCTGCAAAGCCTTGCCCTGATGGCCATCACCGCAGATACCCGGGGCTTTGTGTTTGCAGGTAAAAGAAGCCTTCAACCACATACTCCAGCGCAAGTCCTAGGAAAGGTCATCATCTCCATGAAGTAAATGTGCTGTTTCCCCAGGACAGAGGAGGAAACTCTCCAAGCTCCCACCCCAACCGTGGACAAGCCAAATGAGTCAGGGACACAACTTCGTTACGGTGGCTTAAGAAGTTGCTGCATGTCAGCTGAACAGGGGTACCTGTTGATGGCTGTGTGCTTTTAGCCTGTCCCCTTTCTTGGCTCAACCACCAGCTGGAAAGGCTCCTGCCAAGGCTCATGAATGTCCTGTATCACCACAGCTGCAGGAACAGTCATTTTGACCAGGTTTGCCTGGCCTCCCAAAATCTTGAAGAAGTTTACACAGCGCTCAAAATCTGACCCAACAACATTTCTCAGTGGCAGAGTGACATATATAGCCCAGATGTAAGCTGACTTCTTACACAGCTTGTCCAACCCCATCAGTAGGCTATGGGCCATTTTTCCCTTATTGCCAACAGCCTCATACCCTGTGTTGGCTGTGGTTATTGGTTATGGGAGCAGAGGAAAGTAGCTCACTTCCAGCTTCTTTTTACCTAGTTTGAGCTGTACAAAGAGCAACTGAGGCTAACTGGGGTTCCACCGACCCCCGTTTGGAAGCCACTGCCATAGGTCGTCAGAGCCCTGCCCCGCCAAGCATCCGATAAGCAGCTTGACAGAAAGGTCTGATCTGAAACGAGGACCAAAATGAGAAAGACATAGGTGGAGGCGAAAAGGTTTGCAGGTATGTTTTGACCAGGGAATGAAGTCACTGGCCCACCCCGCCTCCAGCAGTGACCAGCAAGGAAGGGAGACTGCTCTCCTGCCTTCCCTCCCCCTTGCCCACCCACATTCTCGGTCATTTCTGCCTGGGGAGGAGGAATGGGCTCTTGACCCTGTATCAGTCCAGCTTGGTCCCAGGAGGGGCAATTACAGATACCATTACCTTCATAAGCATCGCTGCAAACAAAAGGAACCTGAAACTCTGGTAACAAGCTAGCTATACTCTTCGAAGCTTAATGAGAGAGACTTAAACTACAATGGACTGTGTAGTCCAACCAATAGTCAAACCATTTCATCCGACAATACTTAAATTGGTCTGTGCTGTGCCCTGCTGTTCCAGCATCGCATAGATTCCAGCTGCACGAGCTGCTTCAGCACTGCCTTGATCACAAAGTGCTTCCTCTGCTGCAATAACCCTCCTGGCTTTCTTAGCATGCCTTTATTACGGCAGCCCCTCCAGTCCTGCTTTGCAGTGCCTTAGACCCTGGAGGAAGTTATTTAACTCTCATCCATCCTTTAAGAGCTTTGCAAATTCATCACATTATGCACAGCTTCTCATTGCAGAAGAAAAGAAGTGGGTTTTTAGCTTATTTCACTGGTAATAGCAGAAAATGGTCTACTGCGGCAAAGAATTTATCCAAATAAGCTGTGAGCTGTAGCTGTACTGTAGATAACATCCAGCTCATTTTAGCGTCCTGGAAGCTCTCTACAAGTATCCACAATTGGAGCATCATTGTGCTTTAGGTAAATGCACTGCTTAAAGACGGTGGTCAGCAAAGATCACTGAACAGTGGTTTCATTTCATATGTTTAAGCTGTCCCCTAAATTATTGGCAACACCTAAAGTTAGTAGTCTGATGATAGTAAAGTAGTTCGGCTGATGGTGGAAGAGCAGGACCCTTACCCTGTTGCACCCACTGAGCTTCCAGCAGTGTTTAAGGACTTTAAGTCATACGTTACACCTAGATTACTGCATTTATTAGCCTTCAATCATCATCCTTCCATCAGCTTCCTTTGTTGAAATAATATCTTTAGTGTCTTCAGGTCACACCACAAGGAGTTCCACAATTTAGTTATACAGTATGGATACAGAAAACCTAAACAAACTGATAGATTCTCAGTCTATCTGAGAGTATTTTTTATATTATTTCTATTATAATAAACCCCAAAGAAACAAGTCCCTCACTAAGTGCTGCTTACCTCTTTTTGCCACATCTTTTCTTGATCTTCCTTCTCCTAGGTAGAAGGGTCTTCAGGCCTTCAGAGACCCACCCCAGCTTTATCTTGCCTTACAGCTTTATCTCTTCAATGGTATAGAAGCCTTTCAAGGACTTCTGCTTTTTGCTCAGAAGTAGTTATTTTATACAAAGTAATAAGTATCTTTTTTATTTTAGGACTGTGGAACACGTTTCAGGTTTTGATCTCTGCTTCTCAACCTGATGCCTATCTTCAACAACTGTTTTACTCTAGCTCTTCCTGCTTCATTAGCCAGCCCTATAGCAGAAACCCACCTTTTCCCACTTTACCTCTCCAAAGCCCCTGCTGGGCCTCTCAGTGCCTTAATAAGCTTTAGTGGCCCTGACTGGCCTCACCTGAGCATCCCCACCCACAGGCCTGGGGTCCTATATAAGCTCAGCCTGCGGGCTTTACTTCTTCTCTAAGCTGTGTTGTAGGAACACCAACTCTGGCTCAGCATAGCCAGACTGGCCTTAGACCCTGCTGCTTCTGGACCCAGCCAAGTGTGTTTGACCTAGGTACTTTCTCTAGACCTGATTCTGACCTGTGGACAGACTTGCCAGCTGGACTTTAGACCCACCTCACCCCTATGGAGATGTCTGGTCCTGGGGGCTTTCAACACTCTTCCCTTTAGGTCCCCCAGCTCCTCCTCCTCCAAAGGTAAAACCTCCTTTGCTACTTGCTTTTATATCCTAGTGTTAGCAGTTGATTGTTTGTTGTTCTTGTTGAAGATCTTCTGTCTTCCAGGTGATTCCTTTGAGACATCTTTCCTGGAGCAGCACTGTTTGGTTGTCCCAGTGTCTTCCCTTTGCAGCAGGAGCTGTGGTAGTGCTGGGCTTTCCCTTGCTTTGGCTCTGTGGGGCCTGCTGTGCCTCTGCACCCGCATCTGGGTGGTGGGAGGCACCCTTGGGACTCATGTCCCTGTGACCTGCAGCCTAGTCCTGGCACCCCACACTGAAGCTCCCAGGTGCTGTGAGAAGGTTGTACATCCCACCCAGACTTCATTCAGCTGAGCCTATGGATGTCAATAAGCTGGGCAGATGTGATGGTGGGTATCTGCTGCTGCTTGCTGAGTTATTTGTTATTGCTGCCTTCTGAATAGGCGCTTGTCAGCCTCATGCTGGGGTAGCTGAGCAATTTGGGAAAGGAGGATGCTGTTGGCCAGGGTGGATCACAACCCTGCTAGGTAGAGTTAAGTGAGGGAGAAAAATTACGACTACCCACAGGGTGTTGCCTTTCTCAGAAACTGTGAAGGATTTCTTCAGCTCTTGAAAATGTCTAGAGTTTTAGTACTTACAATCAGCAAAAATTGGAGTGGAATATCAATGGAGCACAGCTTTCAAAAACTCATTTTCTTTTTCCTTTCAAGCTGACAATAGGATTTTAAGAAAAACTTTTAATAATGGATACACTTTTGAATAATGGATGCTTCACAGCCCAAGTCCCTCGACTTTTCTCTCTGTGCCTGAATGAGAAGCCTTTTAATTGCACAACATGTGGAGAGGAGGTACGAAATGCTTTGTGTCTTGTGCTGCTGATTAACTGATGCGTACGCTCCCATTAAACATTCAGAGATGGGTAAGTGTATCCCAGCCCGAAGCTGTGTGTTACGCATGTTGGGTTTTTATCAGCTAAGGATCTGGCAAGAGATGTTTTGTGTTTTTCTGTCTCTGTCATGGCTGCTTGTAATTGTCCTCTTTTTTTTTTGCGGGTTGGATCTTTTCTGCTTCTAGGGCGTTGTTCCACGTGAAGAGCTTGCACCTTATTCACACTCTGGGCTCACGTGATGTGGTGCGAGGTCACCTTGCGAAGTGAAGAAGCCCCCTGAGCTTAGACCAGGGAACAAACTTTGAAATAGGGTTTTCCAAAATAGCAGTGCTTATTGCAAGGGTTTTGCTGAGAGATGGTTGTATGGGGTGAAAGCCTTGCCCTAGTATCTCTGCTGGGCTGTGCCATGGTGTGATGGTGAATCTGCAACACATGGAATGGTTTGAGTGCCCTGTGAATTAGCAGTGTGGGATGTGGGGAGAGGAATTAGCAAGCACAGTGGTGGTGCGGGTCTTCCCTGCTCTTATTCTAGCATGCTGCTGTCTGTCCCTGGTGCTGGTTCTTCTCCAAGTTAATTCAGCTCTCATGGAAGTTTAACTCTGCTACAGAAGGGAAAAGGCAAGTCACTGTGCCCCTGAAAAATGTAAAGCGTGGGTTTGGGGTTAATGGGGTTTTTGTGCTCTTTGTCCTCAGTTTCCCCAGTCCCTGGTGAGGTGCCCAGCACTTTGAACCCAGATGGGCTCAGCTGAGCAAAATCTTGCTGTGTTAATAGTTCTCTAACTTCTGTCTGCACAAAAAGCCCTTAAAACAAGAAGCTGTGATCCCATCAGCTCCCCAGTTTTCTTTCCAAGCACAAATCCAGCCCAGGGACTGAGCCTCAATGAATAAATGTTGCTGGAGCCCAGCTCCGTCCTGCTCCCAGCCCTCTGTATCCCGGCTGTGGGGGACTGGAGGCTCAGCTTATATAGAGAAATCCTGTGAGTCTGAAGCAGTTTTAACTCTTGCCATTAGACCATAAAAGTACCTATGGAGGCAGCTTGCTGGGGTGGCACAGAGGGTCCTCTGGGCTCCCTTGTGTCAGACTTTTCTCTTTCATTTAGGGGTTTTTGGTAATCCTTGCCCTGGCACACGATGGGAGGCTGCCGGCCAAATTTCTGGCTTTAAACAGTGGTTGTTCTCTCTCAATTTTGCAGCTCCTTGCCTTAGAGGACAACTGCAATTTAGTTTTATTTCGCAAAATTTGACATGACTTGAGACTGTGATTTACTGGCCTTGAAGGATATGGTATATGTAACCGTGGAGGGCATAAGTGGCTTGTCATGGTAGAGGAATCATAAATTGAGATGAAAAAAAATGAGGGTAACATTACTGTCCAACTTTACAAGGTAACACTAAGAACAGGGCACAGCGAAGCCATCTGTAACTGTCAAGGGTCTTTATTGCCCCTGATTGTGTGTAATAAAGCTCCTGAACAAGACCTGTG